TTTGAATATTTTCCTTATTTCATACAATTATTAAATTTGTAATCCACTAAAACAAATAAAAAATCATAAAAATTAGGATAGAATAATATTTCATTTTTATTTTAAAATTTTAGATATACTAAGTTTATCATAGAAAATATATGTTCAAAGTTTACCATTCGTATTTGTATGAAATAAGGAAAATATTCAAATTTTAAAAATAATGACTAATAAATGTTAAAGAATATGCTAAAAATTAATATTAATATTTTATTATAATTATAAAAATAATTATAATTTAGAACATTATTTGTTATTCTATAATTCAATGCTTGACGGTAGCATAAGATTCAAGATAATGATAATATTGATTTTTTTAGAGGGAGATACTCCGACTTCTCTCTAAAATTCCCTCATTTTTTCAACCCTACCCAACTTTAACCATTTTTAACCCTAAATCTTCTAGATTTGAAACTCAAATAGTTTTTTCCCATCATTTTCGTTTCTCTATCAACCTTATGAAACCTTAATCTTTATTTCATTTTCATTTTCTTGGCCATTTCATCTTACCCTAACCCAAGATGATCCTTTAACCTATATTTGGTCTTTTAAGAACCTCTCTTTTCTTCTACTGACTTGCATAGAGTGGCAAAAGGTTAGGTCAGGCATAAGGGAAGTTTCCTCAAGAATCAGTCACAAAGATGTGATACTTTCGTTGTTGATAATTACAAATATAAAATCGACGATGAATCTAGGAATATATTCTATATTTACTTCTTAGAGTTTCAAGATGGATGTAGAGCTAGAGAGATCTCCAATCTATTCAAGAAGCATGGAGATCTGGTTGAAGTTGTTATTCCTTCAAGGAAAAACAAATCAGGTAGAAGATTTGGCTTCACGAGGTTTTTGGATGTGGAAGATGAAAGGATGTTAGCGATTCAACTTGATAACATTCATATTGGGGAGAGGAAGATTTATGCAAACATCCTCAAGTTTCGAATAGAGCAGGTCCACTCTAAGGAGGCCGTGAACAAGAGTAAATTTGGACCAATCTATATGAATAATTCAAAATCCACAGCTCAAAATTCTAAGGGTTTTCTGTTGGATCTAAATCCTTTGCCGACGTTATCATGAACAACATGGAAGATTTTCATCGTCAAGTACCAACTCACCTAGTTTTCCCAACTGATGTAGATCAACGCCAGAGATTGAAAAATGTTTATGTGAGTAAGGTCTTGGTTCTTGGATCTTCATATAACATTCAAAATTTGCTCCATGTAGAAGGGTATTTCCGTATTAAATTCACGCCTCTAAGATCGAATCTTTGTCTCCATGAGGAATTTGAAAGCAGTGAGATCTTAAATCTAATATAATGAGCTCGAGATTGACGGGGACAATGGTTCTCAAAAATACATAGATGGAGTGAGTGAAACATGGATATAGAGAAATTAGTGTGGACAAGATGTTATGGTGTCACGTGTCACGCATGGTCTTTAGAGTTCTTCGGACGCATTTCTTCTTCTTTAGGTACTTACATTTTCTCTGACGACTCTACTTCTAAAAAGGAGTGTATGTATATGGCTAGGTTCATAAATAGAACCAGATGTATGATGGTGATTAATGAGATCTTTAATGTCAATATCAAGAACCAAATGTTCATAATTAAAATAATTGAGGATTCTCAAGGTCCTTTGAGGATAGTTATGAAGCAGAAGAAGGAAGATAATTAAATTGATAATGATAAAGAATCTGAATCAAGCTCAAAAGATTGGGGTATCGAAGATGATGAAGGGACTGAGAAAGACTTAGCAAGTATTGGATCGGAAGTCAGTCTTAAACAAGAAATTTATTGGCGGAAGACCTGAACAATGTTGTTGAAGTATACAATGAAGCTACTACTGTAATTACTAAGGTTTTTGGTGATGATTTAAATCATGTTGATAAAAGGGTGGCAGGAAAGGAGAAAAAATTTGTTATTAAAGGATACTTCTTGTAAAGAAGGTGATAAACCTTCCAATCATTCAATCCGAGGTAGAGAAAGAGGAAAGGAAGTGGGTAATTATAATTAGTCAGAAGATGAGTTTGGAGACAAAGACCCAAGCTCCTCGGTACTTATTAGCCAAAAGAAATATCTTATTAACCTAAATTGTTTTGTGAACCAGTGGGACTCATACATGAGACCAAAGATCCCGAAGTTAATTTAGATAGAGAAAAGAACAAAAGAGAATAACTTGGTAAATAAAGTTGTCCCTTTAGGAAGTCTTCAAGAGGATAGTGAGGAGAGATACTCGGGAGGATTTATCTTATGTTGGGATTCTATTTCTGACTCAGATGTTTTACAAGGAAACAATTTTTTTTCGTTCCAATCTAGGTTCAAATGTTAGTGATAGAGTTTGGGAGGAAATCTCAAAGTTGGGTTTTATTGGGATACAAAACAAACCTTCAATAGTGCAGAAGATTAAAGACTTCGAAGCCAGAGACAAAGATAGAGTAGAGAAGGATAGTAGGAATGTGTCTAAGAAGAAACCATTATGAATCTTGCCTTATACAACATTAGAGGGGGAGGCAGTTAGGTCAAGATAAGAAAGGTCAGACAAACTCTATTTTCACGTAAAACAGAAGTTTGTTTAATCCAAGAATCTAAGTTTAAATCTGTAGATAGTTCTATGATTAGTAGTTTGTGGTATAATGGTGATGTGGATTGGCCTATTAGTAATTCTTTAGGTCAATCTGGGGGTCTTATAATTATGTGGAACACTTGCTCTATAAATTTTTTGTTTATTTTAAGAGGGGATGGATATTTAGGGTTCTATTCTGAGTGGAAAGGGCATATTTATTTAATCATTAATGTCTATTTTCCTTGTAACTTGTTTGACACTTTATTCCAGACCAAAATCAACTATGACATGACCTATTTTTCTATGATGATCTTGATGTAGAATAATCTCACATATATGTCAAAGGGTGCTAAGTTTCTTGTTATTTCATGCTTTCTGCAAAATTTCAATTTAGTAATTTCCATTCTTGTACTTTTAAGTTCAAGTAATGAATAAAAGAAATGGTTTTTCCCTTTTCTAAATGTTTTATTTTCCTATGTTTGCATATTTATTTCCGCAATGCATCTTTACCCGCCTTTTTAATTTCGACAAAAAGAATAAGTATACTCTACAGTGGTATAAAGTAAACTATCTATTTAACTCAGTGGGAGTTTAATTACTCCAAACATATATGTGTTATTTCCTTTACCACCTCCCCTGAGAGATATGTTGTAAAATGGAGAAAATGTGGAACCTTATTTTAAAGGTCATATGCTTTAAATAAGGACAACAATTTTTGATGATAACAACTAATGTAAACCTAAGCATTAGGGTTTGATGGACTTGGCTATCTGATGTTGGCAATCAAATGGAACAAAACTCAAGTCTCGTCTCAAGTAAACTCAAGCAAGTTTCTACAAAATAAAGTATTTAACAAAGTCATACCTTGATTAGTCTTAGTGAATACTTTGTGTAACATAAGGACATTCTCATAAAAGTACATGGCTAAATCTCTCTCTCTCTCATACACACACACACACACACACACACACACACACACACACATCTTTTCAAACTGATTTTCCTCAAGAAAATATTTTCTAAAACGTCTTAAAGTTGTGCTAGATGAGTTGGAAGCTGTCAGAATAACTTTGGACAAAGTTTTGTCTTTGCTAATCGATTATGATATTACGTCAATCGATTAGCTCAGTTCAAAATTGAGCTCTAAACGATTAGGACAACATCTTAATCATGTGAAACGACTAGATATCTTTTATTTCCTTTTTTGAACTTATAATCAATTAGTTTTGAAGTATCTAATCGATTAGCATTAGGAGTTAATTGATTATGTTGTCTTAAAAAGCATTAAAATCAATATCCTTTTTGAGCCAACCTCTAGCCTATAATTAGGAGGCCTCTTCCCTCATTTCAAACCATCTAGAATCATGTTTTGACACTTCTCTCTCTCTCTCTCTCTCTCTCTCTCTCTCTCTCTCTCTCTCTCTCTCTCTCTCTCTCTCTCTCTCTCTCTCTCTCTCTCTCTCTCTCTCTCTCTCTCTCTCTCTAAATTTTTCTTTTATTTTCTCTCACTAATACTTTAGCGAAAGTGCTTATCCGATAAAGTCCTTTTGTGAGTGAGGATAATTTGTAATTTTAGAAGGGTAGAATTGTAAAATTAACTAAGGGAATTTTGGTTACACCTTGGTTGAATATTATCCATTTAGGATTTGTTTGGGTTAGAAGATAAACTTATAAAAGCTTTTGGTTTGAAGATTGTGTGATCAAGCTCTGGTTTAGGTTAGCCTGTGATAAAATCAAGGTTATATTAAAGCTTATCCTAGTATTAAAATTTTAAATAAGGTTTGAGATTAACTAATGGTAAAATCTTTCGGATTATTAGTTAGCCCGTGTAAAAATCGAGGCTTAAGGTTCCCCCTCTTGTATTCGTAAAGATTTTATCATAGTCAACCGTTAATAACACTTAACATTAATGTATAGAAAACTACAAATTCATATTATTATTATTGTCATTATTTTTATTGTTATTATTAGAATTTAATTGAAATACACTGATAGTGTAAAATAATTTTATATTTTATCAGTTAATTATAGCCATTGGATGTTCAGAAGAGTTTGACTTTTATTTTAATCACTTATAAAGTAAGACAAACGGATTATGGTAATGCATCGACATTATAAAAGTTTTTACGCCGACAGTGTGTATAGTAATTAATCTATTATTATTATTATTATTATTATTATTATTATTATTATTATTATTATTATTATTATTATTATTATTATTATTATTATTATTATTATTATTATTTAAACTTCACTGCTTATATTATTCATACACAAAAAAATATCATTTTTCTATTTATAAGCACCTTTAAAAAATATAAGAAAATCAATTTTACAACAAAGAATTAAAAAAATTACATATGTTCAAACTACAAAACAAAAGTATCAAGACACAGTTAATCAGACAAAAGAATCAACTTTAGGTGCCATATTTCCAAACAACAACTTCAAGTCATTTTGCAAAGGTGTTAAGTTCAAGTCCAAACACATAACCCTCTTACTATTCGATCTTTTCAATATTGGAACTTCTCCAACAATCTTATTTTCCTTCATCAAAGAAAACTCTTCATTGACACCAATTCTGTGCCTTCTCATATGTCCTCCCAAAGCCTGACCTAAAGAGAATTCTTTACCACAAATATAGCAACCATGCATTTTGGACTTATTAAATAAGCTCAAATTTTGTACCTGTAGTTTGAGTTTTGTAGCATCTAGTTTCGGTTTGTTATGACTAGCCCTATGGCCACCTAGGGCTTGAAATGAAGAGAACTTACGGTTGCATGTGGTGCACTCAAATTCAACACGATCAAAGTGTTTCTTTGGTTTGGTTTGTTTGGGATGAGAGAGTAGAATTACACAATTTGCTAAATCTATGTTCTCTACTCTATCGTCTCTTTGCCGTTTCATGGATACAATAATATTATGCTATGCAAATAAGGAACTGAAATACTCAATATTGTGATTAAGATGTTATGATATATGTTAGGTATTTATAGGCAGTTTGGGATGAACTCAAGGAATTTGACTTTAATTATTTAAATAAACAATTGTTGGAGGCTTTGTATTGTTTCATTGATGAATGTTTCAAATATGTGGAATCTTGGAAAGTAAGGGTTATGTATGGTGAAATTACGTGCTAGCCGACTTTGGAGATTGCATGTTGGCATAAGTGTGTAAAAATCAATTTTGGTCTCTAAATTTGTAGGGGTAGATGAACAATTATAATCAAATGTGATAGATGTTATAATGAAGAACAATTATAATCACTTCTAATTTTCCAGTAAACAACCTCCATTTGTACAAGTAATTTTGTTTTATATAATATTATGAGAAACTTTCAGAGAAGGATAAGTTACAGCATGACTAGGATCAAAGTTGACATGTAAGAATAAGTTATATATTATAATAAATTGGACCTTAAAATTAGAAAGCGATGGAGTATAAGTTAGGTAGATTTATTGTGAAATTTGGTCAAAACATTCATTAGCTTGTTGCATTAATTCTAGTTTTTGCCATAATTACTGTTAATATTTGTTAGAATTTAGTGATAACATGCAAAGACATGAAAAATGAAATTGAAATACAATTGATTATGCAATTCACTACATTCTCTTATTCAATAGTTACTTATTCAACTCCTGAACTGCTCTCTCAAATATTAAGGAAACCCAAGGACTTGGACTTCATAATCAGCTTTTCCTATGTAGTTAATTACTAATTAAGCGCTAGTAATTAAACTAACTTAATTAATTAATTAACAAATAATTTAATCAACTCAACTATTTAGATCATACTTAATATAAACCAATTTAAAATAGTAATTAAAAAGGAACACATGAAGTACTACTTAGTTTGTATTGGTATCCAAAATATAACTAGATAACTTTATGTTGAGTTTCTCAACAAATTTTATGTTTAATGAAAATTAATTTTACAAACTTAAAAAGACATAACAAATTCTAAGTATTTTTGGGTGGTTAGGGATTCGGGTGGCTCTTAAAGACTTTAGATTTTTTTTTGTTTGAATTTTTCATATATTTAGGGGGTAAATTTAAGAAGGGTGGCAAACAGACATGCTTGTCCCGTTTAGCCCTGGGCTCTATAAAAATCTGCAAAAAATGGGATAGTTACCCCGTTTAGCCCCGGGCTCTATAAAAATCCGCAAAAAATGAGATACGGCAGTACGATCATAGAGTAAAGATATAATAAACTTCAGTTTGGAGGTAGAAACAAAATTTGTAGAAATATTCTCCTTCTTCCCCTTTTCTTTCAAACCCTAATTTTTTTTCTTCCTTAATTCATCTTTTCTTTTCTTCTTTAATAATCATTGCGCAGCGGAATCATCTTCCAACCAATGTGTGGTTGATTCACTCGAGTGAAGAATGAAAAATAAGAGGTGAAATCAATCAGAATAATTGATTCTTTTTCGTCAATATTGATTCTGAATTCTCCAAGTTTTAGGTGTAATTCCAACATCTGGTATCTAGAGCACTGACTTTGTGACTTGAGAAGCATAACGCGATGAATAATCTGAATGAGCATTTTCCAGCAAGTCTTCTAATTCTGAATGGTAAGAATTATGATAATTGGTATAAGAGACTTTTGTTGGTGTAAGCCCTAGAGGCCAATACTTTTTGGTACTTGTATCAGATTATTCGTTTAATAATAAAAGGCATTTCTTTATTATGTTTGTCTTTCAGAATAATAAAGTCCCTAGAATAGTTAGTCTGTTTAATGAAATGTTAAGTGTGACTTAATCATGAGATCCCATTAAACATAAAGACATTATTCTTAAAATATCCGTAGTCAAGCTTTATTGCAAAGTGGGATAACATTAAAAGCATTGAGACTATTATGAAGATAGACTGATGATCACATCTCATGGATCATGGATAAAGAGTTATCAAGTCTTGACATAGGTATAAATATTAGGAGTAATATTTATACCGGATTGACCCGCTATGAGAATACTACATAGTATGTTATGCAAAGTGTCATAAGTTATTCTCATGGTGATAATGGTGTATTACCACCCTTCGACCTGAAACCACTATGGACCCTAGATGTAGAGTCGGGTGCTTTATTGCTGATCAAACATTATCCGTAACTGGATGATCATAAAGACAGTTGATGGGCACTCCACGAAGCATGCTGAGGGACATGAGTGTCCTAGATGGAATTTGCCAATCCTGCATAACAGGAGAAATGTCTAAGGGCCCAATATTGAACTGGACAAGGATGACACAGTGTATGCCTTGTGTTCAATATAGACATAGGGGCAAAAGGGTAATTGTACAAACATATATTATCACGAAAAAGGTTTTGTCAGATCACATGACATTTTCGTGACTTGGGTAGCAGTGATGTGTTGCTAGATACCGCTTACTGTTTATTATGTTAAATATATATAATTTAATATAATTACCAACGTTACGAAATCCTACAGGGTCACACACATAAGGACAGTTTGATGAGAGATAGAGAAATCAAAGGAACACCGTAAGGTACGGTGCACTTAAGTGAAAAATAGAAATTCGGATAATATAATAATAATTATTGTTATTTTATAATGGTTATAAAATAATAATAAAATAAATATATTTATTATAATAATAGTTATTATAATAATATATAATATTATTATGGATCATGTGAATTAGGGTTTTAGCCCACAGCCCACAAGAGAGTCTATAAAAGGAACCCTTGTGATGAAGCTTTCACTTGATGCAATTTCGTTTTTGATTCTCTTTTCTCACTCAAATAATTCCGTTCGTAAGCAGCTAGCACTGTGACCGGAAGCTGTTCGTGTGGACTGAGTAGAGGCGTTGCACTTCATCAACGCTTGTGATCGCTACATCAAAGATCTGAATCGCCACAAAGAGGTAACGATTCTATCACTGACCATGCTCATTCGTAAGGATCACTAAAGGAAATTTTTGTTTTTCCGCTGCGTTTAGATCGCAATTTTCCTTCAGTGGTATCAGAGCCACTTACGAAACCATGGATCTGATAGCTGTTAAATTTCCGTCTTTTCTGTATTTGATTCGATTAAAACACAGAATGAATTTAACAATAAACGATTAATTAAATTTGGCATCTGTTGTGTACGATTTGGATGATTGATGTTGATTATGCTTCGGAATCCGACATTAGTATGGTGAAGTTGTGCGATACATTGATCATCCATAGGTTACACAATTAGATCGATCACTTTTATATAAGATATAAGAAATTCTGATGCAAAGATGGTATATGGGATATACTGTTTTGATTTCATCCATTCAATCACATAAGGATTGTAATTCTTTTGAAAGATCATCACTTTCATTCGCTTCGGAATCCGACGTTAGTATGGTGAAGCAATGATATGTTGATCTATCATATTGAGTTATCAATCGAGTTGTGTTTGACGGCATGAAATTGTTGCATTAGGATTAATGGCAGTACAAGTGTTGTATTGCCGCAGACTTTTCCGGTTGGGATTGTAAATGCACAAAAGTTGTGCAGGAAACGACGTGAAATACAATGAAGTGTTCATAAAAATTTTCGCTGGGGCGCTGCCCCTAACAACCCTGCAAAGGGGCGCTGCCCGGGCAGCGGAACCCCCGGCTAAGTCTGCAAAGTGTGATCAATCAGTCGAAATTTAATTTAGTTTATTTAATTATCGGAATTTTAAACTAATAATAAAAGTGTGTTTATTATTATTTATTTGTGGTGATCAGTTATGGCCTTAGTTTTGTTTTGGGATTTTTGAATACGGCCTGCGTGTCGTGCCTCTCTCTCAATCTCTTTATGTAACTTCTTTTCTCATCTCACTCCCTCGTATGTAAAACGAGTTTTCTTATATGTAATGTAATATTATGTTATGAAAAAAAAAAGGAAGTATTCAATATTAAAGGAGGATAACCTTGGAGATCATGCTTGGAGAAGCTTAGATCGTTATTAGGTTAGCTTAGGTTCTCTCATTGGCTTGAGAGAACAATTGCGTTAGGGGCCATAATTGTATCTTTTTATATGTATGTTGATGCATGTACTTGTATGTTGATGCATGTGAGAGACGTTTTGCATGTTAAGCCGGTGAGATCAAACTAATAACAAATTCCCTCAAAATTAAATATTAAGTTTATGCTTTCCAATTTTTAGCACTCATCAAGACTAGTATCGAGCATTGTAGGTTTCGCCTACGCGAGGTGCATGTTCTATATTAGTAAGGTGTGATGGGATAATTGTAATATCCAATTGCTAAAACAATGGGTCAAACTTAACTAAACAAATTATAATAAGATTATATATGTTTAGAAGCAAGAATTGGGAATGATTCATGTGATGGATCAGAATAAGGAGTTATTCACCCAATTGAAAATATTCGAGAGTTGTATGAGATACAATTGGAAGGAGTTCCTACCTAAATAACTTAGTTTTGTGTAATCAGCCTAACGCTGACTTAAAACAAAGTGAAACATGGATCTCGACCCACTAGAAAGTCTTCCAACGGGATTTTCCGAATCAAATGATGAGGGTCATTTGTTTTGAATAAAATAGTGGGAGCATATTTGATTAAAGGCCTAATTAAATATGTTGTTTTAATGATACTTATATTTTCATATTTCTCTTGTAGATTACCATGACAACAAACACATCGAACAATATTTTGCGATCCATCCTAGATAAGGAAAAATTGTCTGGGACAAATTTCCTGGATTGGCACCGTAATCTGAGGATTGTCCTCAAGCACGATAAGAAGCTGTATGTCTTGGAGACACCAGTTCCTGAGGAGGAACCTCCTAGTTCTGCACCAAAGGCAGAAAGAGATGCTTATAAGAAGCATTTCGATGATGCCAATGAAACCGCTTGCCTCATGCTTGCTACCATGAACTCTGAGTTGCAAAAGCAACACGAGAACATGT